CCCCCCCGGCCCCAGGTGGTCCCAAAGCACTGAGCTGATCTCCCTGTGCCATGCAGCTGCTTCCCACTAGCTATCCGTTTTACGTTTGGTAGTGTATATATGTCCATGCCACTCTCTCGCTTTGTCAACATGAATGACTTTTAAAATAAGTTTGTAAGTAGAACGTAGGAGTCTCATTGGGGAGTAATTGGTTGGTGAAGTATTTAGAAAACAAACACTTGGCATCTTCAGAAATTCAACTGAACCATTAGGCCTCTGTAGCCTTGGGATTTTCCTGAAATTAGATAATTAATGAAATGGATCACCTAAAGTTTTATATAGCAAGGGAAGCTTTCTGCTAGTATTGAAAATCAAATTTCGCTTTTTTTAAAACTCATAAAGTAATAAATTACAACTTTCCTTTAAATGACAGTTCTTAAAACAGTAAGTAGCAGTTGCTTCTCCTGCATACTAAATTCATTTATATACCTGGGATTTGCTTGTCTTGAAAATGTTCCAAAGTGTTCAGGCATTCACTTGAGGGATATTTGATCATCACACCACAGTTGGTCAGGGTTGATTGCAACTATAGAAACAACTTTTATAGTTTTAACTTTTCCCTCTTAAAGTTCCATCCAGATTACAGTGTGTAGTTAGTAGAAGTTTACAGAACGATTGCCTCCTTTCATCGTTGACGTAAATTGCTACAAACCATATTTCAGTCTCTTCCAACTTACAGAAAATTGGATTTAAACTGATGGTCAAAATTACGGTAGTATTTCTATTCCATTGGAAGGCTCAGTGTTTGCATGTGGGCAGAAGTTACTAAGTATGTCCCTTAGAACTAAATGATGTCTGAGCTGGTGGTAGAAGTGAAAGTCTGTGCATTCAATACAAATTTGAAGGATTTTGACTGGGAATTAGGAAAGGAAAAGGTAATCCCTACACCTGCTGGTCTACAATAGCATTCACCCTAATGTTGATCTGTAGAGCACAGTGAGAAGACATACCAGGATGTAATCTTTTACTCACAGGGTCTAGCACCAACTGATCCAGGCATTCATCGTTGATAGAAGACTCTCTAGAGTCATCTAGTTTTAGCATCTTTGAGTCCTCTTTCTGAGTTGTTTATGGTATTTATGTCTATTCGGGAACTTATGGAAAATGAGCCTAATCAAAGAAGCAAAACACTATTATTGAGAAAGAAGCAGAAAAATATTCCAGTGGCAAATAAAGTAACTGTTTATTTCATTTGGTGTTTCACTGTGTTGGTGACCTCAATAATGGCATGATGATATTTTTCTGAGGCTGACTTGAATTCCACCAGATGCTTCTCATAACTTTTGATGGCTTCTTGAAGCTGTGTTTTCTCCACTGCTCCCAGGATGGCACGGAAGATCATATCTATGCCAAGGCCAAGAACAGCAACTCCTATGCTACCAAGGAGAGAAGCACCAATTTGAGCTAACACAGTGACCAACTTGTTAATTATGCCAGTTGTGATGTTTGAGCCCACGAGTTTAACAGCCACTGCACTGGCAGCAGAAGTAGCTTCTCCCAGGATGACTGAAATAACTTTTTGTACTATTGCAATTTTCTCGGTTTCTTTTTCCTTAATATCCTGAAGTTTTCTATAAAGGGTTGGCTCTAGTTTATCTTTTAGTGCCTCATCAACCTTTTGCAATTCTTTTTGGATTTTCATCATGGCTTGGATGATGATATCACAGTTTTCTTTGATGGTCGCATCTCTTTTCATTTCAATGGAGGCCAGCCTGCACCCTAAGTGCGTATTTAAAACCCCAATCAGCTTATTGGTGGCATGGAAGCTGTCACATAAGCAGTCAAGGAGCTCCTGGTGAAGACGATTTACTTCTTGTCGCCTTTTTGGGTTCTCTGGGTAGAGGAAGTCACTTTGAGCCATATTTCAAATATGATCCCTGAAAAATACAATAGTAAATCTTTACTAGAAATCTTGAAAAATATCTGCTGTATGTATAGATTTGACAAGGAAATCTTTTACCTTATGAATAGCAAAGTAGCATGCTATTTAAGGAATTTCTCAGAAAACTCAGCAAGTTCTTCAAAACAATTTTTTGTTGTTTTGAGTCAGTGTATAAAAATATGGGTGACATAATACAACTTGTTGATGCATTAATTATGGCATTAGATCTTGTGGAGGGGGGGAGATCCTAGATAGGAAAGATTTGTGTTTATCTAACATCTGATTATTAATAAATGTGATTATTTCCAAGTAATATTTAATAACATCTGAAATAGTTAGCTCTTGACTACCAGTGACCCTTAATTTCCTCAACCTCTAGTCACCACATTGAATAGACCAACCAGATTGATTTTTCTAATATTTGGAATTAAATTAGTAGGGTCAGAAGAATATTAAGATCTCTGAGTTTACAGGGCAATAATTGCTCATTTTGTTTGTATACTCTGTTATCTTAATTTACAATATTCAAAACACTCTTTATGTCTTTACAGGTCAATTATTTGCTCTCCAAACCTAAGAGGCATCCAAAGGCAACACATATAACGTTGGAATGTTTACCAAAAAATCCTCGTGATAACAGTTTATTTTCAAGATTCCTTAGATTAAAACCTCACTTGGAGAGACAGTGGGCATCGTGGAAGGGACAGGGCAGTTCTGACTATCTCTCTGGTTCTCCATTGGTAAAGTTATAAATTAAGTTATTTAGAATTGTCTATATTACACTTGACCATTATTCAGATATGCTAGAGTTAGTCTCAGAAAGAAGATAATGTCATTTCACAAAGGTATTAGGGAATAAGTAGCAAGAGTACATCACAGAATGAATAAAATAAGCCTGGTGTTTGTAGCCTGCTTGTGTCTGTACTTTGGGCTCAGAGAAAGAAGGAATAAGCAACACCCTTCTGAGTGAATTTGGTTGAGAGTTTGAAGCTAGTGAGAACAATGTTCCTCAGTATGCACACCTGGAATAGGCTTACTATGTGCCTGACACTTGGATATTTCATTTGAATTCTTGGGAGAAAAGAAGGAGAAAATGGAGTCCTTTATACCTGTGTGGGATCTGGCTCATCCTCTCTTTGTGTAAACAACATGCTAATTAACCTGGGCCCTATCTTTCTAGGACCATTGTTCTTAGCCTAGATATTGGGAACCTCAGAAGCATGGGGGGAAGGAATGAAGATGTTTTCTCTCAAGAAAGTAAACATGAACATAACCTATCCTCCAAGTTATAAAGATACAGTTTGGAAATGGGAAGGGGAAAATTTTTGAAAATGGATTAGGAACATAATTTTTGCTCTTAATTTTAGGAAAATGCACTAGTACCCCTGGTGGAATAAATTGTATCATGGTCAGAAATTCATTTTTATCTTTGATTTAGATACAGTACACACACACACACACATGACAGATACAAATGTCCACAAATTAGAACATATCTCAATTCCATTTAAATAAATTGTTTGTTAAAGGACTATTAAATATTCCACAAACTCACCATTGGGTTGCAAACTACAATTTGATAACCACAAATTGGGACTTTGATTTTCGCTTTTTTCTCCTAGAAATTTTACGTTAAACTGTTTTCTTTTTTGGTTCCTGGTTTTCAGATCTTATCATGAAGTGAAAACTCCAGTTTCTGACTTTGAATTTAGAAGATCACCAACTACATCCCCATTCAGATATTTAGGTGAGAGGAGTCTTTCTTACCCTGAAAAAGTGGGAAATTTCTCTAAAAGCTGTCCTATGCCATTATCTGAAGGCATAGCTTTTAGAAAAGATGTGTGGTTCTATTTACCTCAGGATAAACACATGGAGAGATGAACCTTCCTCCTTGATGGGAGGTTGAATGCTTCCAAGTGGTCAGTTCCTTCCTAATTAATTCATTGTTTTAACACAACTTGACAAATTAATCATAAAATACATCTGAAAGACTAAATAGGTGAGACTACTTACTTTTTTCAGGATAAGTAATGTTGGGACTTTTTCCTCCTCAAACATTAAAACAGTATAAAAACACAATATTAACAAGTATTGTATAGGTGCAAGAGTAGTTGGAATCATGGAACAAAATAGTCCCCAAAGAAGACCCTTCTATACATTTGACTTAACATATAGTAAATGTAGAATCTCAAATCAATAGAAATTAGTATTCCATAAATGATCCTGGCATAATGGGCTAGCTTGTGGGGGATTAAACATTAATTTAAAAATATCAGTGTAACATATGTAAAAAAGATCAAATGATAAAATAGCTGGAAGAAAACAGATAATTTTCAAATGTATATGGAGGGCTTTATAAGCTTAAAACCAATGGGAAAAAGTCACACAAAAATTTGACTAACAAAGATGACCACGTAAGAAGGACTGAAAGCAAACTGGTTAAAATGCAGGAAATATTAAAAAGTATTGGTTTCTAACTAGTCTTGTTATTAATACAGAAAACAGTCCTAATCTAATAGGTAAACATGCAAACAACTCTGAACAGGCAGTAAAAGAAGAAATAGTAGTAATTAATTGATGAAAAGTTTCAGTCTTACCAGAAATCAGATACAGTACTTTTTCAGCTACAAAAGTAGTATTTTCTTTCCTTTACATATTCAAGCCCTTGCACATGCTCTTTTATACCCTTCTTCCTAGGTTGCAGATATCCATAATTTTGTGCCAATAACAAGTCTGAGTAAGAGATATCATGATGTGCTCAGAATTATTTTTCACATCTAACGAAAAAAGACTTAGTTTTCTGAGTCAGGCTTACCTTCTTTTTTTTCTTCCTTGGGGAAGGGGACTGAGGGTTCCTTATGCAAAGAGATCTTCAGCAGCCCTGCCACCATACCTGCCCCAGTACTGAATACAGTTTAAAATTACTTCCATCCCAACAGTGAGATAAATGCTAGAGAATTAGGTGGAGGAGGGTTTGAAGGTGAAACCAATTAATTATGTTAATTAAGTGAAATTTGAAGAGCCTGATGAAGGAAGTAATTTAATAATTCAGTAGCAATTTGCCTAATGGAGAGTAGTACTTTACTATTTATTATAAGGTAGTATGCTAGTCTCTGTAGAGCATACAGAAATGAAAGAGACATGGTCCCTGCTTTCGTGAAATTTCTAATCTAGTTAGGAAGTTAAGACAGATTTAAAACTAGAATGTCAAGTTGAAAGCACTACGTCATACAAAATTATAGATAGAGGTGGTGCTTGCCTTGTGCAAATTCAAATTTTAAAGAACTCACATTTTGAAGTAAGACAGAAAGACAAATATCATATGATATCACTTATATGTGGAATCTAAAAACATGGTACAAATGAACTTAGTTACAAAACAGAAGTAGAGCCACAGATGTAGAAAACAGTCTTACCAGGGGAAAGTGGGGGATGGGGGGTGGGATAAACTGGGAGATTGGGATGGACATATATACACTACTATATATAAAATAGATAACTAATAAGCATCTACTGTATAGTACAGGGAACTCTACTCAATACTCTGTAATAACCTATGTGGATAAAGAATCTAAAAAAGACTGGATATATGTATACATATAACCGATTCACTTTGCTGTACAGCAGAAACTAACACAACATTGTAAATCAACTGGACTCCAATAAAAATTAAGAAAACAAAAAACAAAAGAACTCATACTTTAATAATATTTACACTGGGGCCATGTGGAGACAGTCCGTCATCTAGGGAGGGTTAACAATTTGTAAACTTTCCAACTGACACTCTTAAATATGTGCTTGATACTTAGAGGAGAGGTTATACACCACATGAAAAATCTTAGTTGGCAATGTGCAGCATTTCAGCTATTGCCCATGACAATTTAGTTCTGATGCTCGAATTGCTTACTTGTCTCAGCAAAACAAAAAAGGTCTGCAATTAGTTGGAGTCACCCTTCTTAAAGATGACAGTTGTTACTTAGGCATGCCTCAAGTGATGTCTTACCAGTGATATATAGTACTGTACCTGAGAGGAGTTCTGGGTCGTACACTGTCCTCTATCTTTTAAATATTGGCTTGAAAGTTCAATCTTTTAAAATCATTTTAAAGTCATTTTAAAAAATGACTTTTAAGATGGGCATCAGCAGGTAGCTAAGTGGTGTGCTTAATCCAGCTCTGATCACCTGCATCTTTTGTATGGCAGATGTGAACTTTTACACTATTTGTTATAACATGATAGTGCTCCCTGTTAGTGATGGGCAGTTACCATCCACTTCTGTACACCCGAATTTGTGTGGCTATTTGAGCATTTTATTGTAGTGGTTCATGAAATAAGTTCTAAAGAGCCCTGGGGCAGCCTGATGGGGAATTGCTAGCCAGCAGGTGGAGTGCTTGGTCTCTGGCAAGCCAGTTTCACCCCAGCCTTTGCTGAAGCAGCTATGCTTTCTTTGCTGCTCTATTTGGGCTGTAGGTGGGAAAAGTTTGTGTGATGAGCGAGTTCTTTTGCTAAAATAAAGTTCAGAAATCACACGTAATTTGGCTTTGTTATTTTATTTTAAAAAAGGAAGTAAACAAATCTGGAAGCACTGATACTTGATCTGCTCATCTTAGGAACTTGGAATGAAAACAAAGACTAGCTTCAGGTGGATTCTTATTGGACCTAACTCATCAGTTTTGTTGAAATAAGAAGTAAACACTCATGATTAAAGAGCATATAAGAAATGGGAGAAATATACTGACGATTGTATCTAAAAGTTAAAGTTTATTTAGTGATACTATACAGTTCTTTTAGTTTTTCAGGAAAGGAACCACCTTGCAAAATAAAAATGTATTGATTATCACATATGTAAGTAAAAATTTCTCAGGATACTTTTGTGAATAACAGTACTGCATTGACTGTCAAGTGCTCTAGGAATTTAAAGAGAAAATTTAATATGGAGGTCATTAGAGGAAGATTCATGGAGGAAGTGACAGGTGATTGTGCATTGATAAATGGTAGAATTATAACATGATGAAATTAAACGATTTGATAAAACAAAGTATTTTAAAATAAAAAGTTTATAGCAATGATATATAAATAATATGTAGGACAAAAAACACCTATAAACCTACCATCTTGTTTTTCTTTTATTGTTCCTTTCCAAAGTTTATTTAAATGAATAAGTATTTTTACCAAGTTGTAATAATAAGAAATAAAATTTCATCTTATATTAATTTACTTAAACACTTCCCTTATTTCTAGTTTTATAATTATTTTATTGGTTATATAAAATTTTATATTTATATTTTATAAAGTATTTCATATGTCTTTACCATAATTTAACAAATTATTGTTTTACTGTCTTCATATAAGTATTTTAATACACATAGTTCTTTTTTCCCTCTTCAATTATCTGGATTATTTCCTCAGGATAAATTTCCAGAGGAAATTCAGATTATATAAATATACAATTTATGTAATCAATAGGAATAAAAATTTATATTACTTTTGATATGTATTGCAAATGCATTCCAAAAACTTTTACACTGACATCAAAAATAAATTTTTACAGCAGGACACTGGGTGTGTTTCAAAGTCAAATACAATTCTGTTAAATATTATTGGTTTGAGGAGCATAAGGTCAAATTGAAGAGTTCTTGCCTTTGTGGAAATCCATCCTGAAAAAGTTAATGATGAAATGATACTGAGGTTTGCTTCCAAATAATCTAGAAGGCAGATTGGAGTAGCTTCATAGAGGTAATAAGGTCAAACTTGTTTTCATAATTTTTGAAGCTGGGTTATGGGGGTGTGGGAGTTTATTATATTATTGTCTTCACTTCTGTGTATGTTTGAACTTTTCCCATAATAACAATTAAAAACAGAAAGAAAGAAAGAAAAAAAGAAAAACCATGACCCTGTCCAAGCTTCTGATGTTTGGTCATTAGTGCTCTCTAAGGTTTTACTTTTCTCCAATGTGTCTCTCGTCCTCACTACCCATATTGGGTCCAGCTATCCTGCAAGGTTCGCTTATCTGGGAGTGTGGGTATAGGGTATGGGTAAAGTCAGAAGCTTTTCAGGAGAAAATAACAGCTACTAACTAGTTCTGAGCTTCCTTCTTTAATTTAAATCAAAACCATGGCCTTTCATTAAAAAAACAAGGTTGATCATGGTGTGATGACACTCTGATATAAAGTCTTTAAAAGAATATTTCTGACCAGAAAGCAGAATATCGAGGTCATTCACCAGCATTTATCAAATGTTCACTTGAGAAACCTCTGCCATATGCCTTGAGTAGACAATGTTCCTTGCCCTCAAGAAGATAACAGTCTATTTGGAGACACACAGCAAAGGCCCAGTGATATTTAAATGTAATATAACTTATGAAGGAGCATAAGTGCTATACATTAACTAGAATTAGATCACACATTCATATTTTCGCAGATACTGAATGCTTAAATTAATGTTAAAGACATAAAAGGAAATGTTACATTCCATGTAAACAACACACATTCACACAGGGGTCATTTCATCCTTATTCTTTTCTAAAATTGACGTCTTTACTACTTTATCATCCCCTCTGACTTAATTGTATAAGCTGTTAATTTTCTTCTTTCTTGGTGTCTTCAGAGACATAAATGATCACCAGGAACATGTCATGGGATCTGCTTAAAAAAAGTTGTTTTGTTGCTTTATTATAGTTATGACTAGGATTCAAGCCTGACCTGTTACTGCAAATACTCTTTAATATGGAGAAACAGAATATTATATCAATGCTGATAGAAATACCCATATTGCTTACCTTGCTGTGTTTCTGAGTTCAGTGGTCCCAGCAGTTGTTGGGGAGTATTGCTGCAGTGCTTTTTCATCTGGTTTCAACTGGATGTTTCTAATGGAATGTGATGACTTACAGGCTTTGCTAGTCTCTGCTGGGTCCCTCTGCCTGTCTGGTTCATCGACTGTTTCTGCATGGTTTAGTTCTCAGAATTCTTTTATTTTCTATATTAATATAAAATTGGGATATATTAAGTAATATTAATTATAAGTAATTAGTAGTGCAATGGTAAAACATTAAAATTTTTGTTCTTTAATGGACTTTTTTGTTGTTGAAAAGTGCTATCCAACTGAGCTAATTCAATTCAGTAGAAAAGATGCCTCTTTGATTGAAGCTCTCAGATTTTGGGTTCCCATCATGTCAACTTTTCCAGATATTAAACTTCCTTTAGCTTCTGTTGCATTTTGTACCTGTTGCTGATTGATCTAAGTTCTCAGGAGATATAGATACAGATATTTTCAGCCAAATGTGGTTTCTTTTGTGTGTGCTCTTCTTTCCTGGCTGGAAGTTCTGCTCTTTATCACTATCTCTCTTGTTATCTTGGTTAATTGTCTTGACAATGTAAAAACCTTAAAGATCAACTTGACTCCTTTCCCTTAAAGCTTAGATCAGAGTCTCCCATGCTTCTTTCTCTAGATTCTGTCCTAATCCCCACTGATTCCTCTACAGCAAAGACACATCAGAAGCAAGAAAATCACTCAGCCTCAGTATAACTTACAGGAAAGACCAGGGGCTTTAGAATTGTACAGTCCCTATTTTGTGTACCCAGAGTACCCCTTACGAGCCATGTAACCCTGGGAAAGTAATTTAATCTCTCTACTTTTTTTCATAGATGTCATGTGAGTACTAGTTTGTAATTTATGGATTGGCATAAAAGGACTATGAGATAATAAATGTAAAATACTTGGCACAGTGCCTGTTTTATGGCAAAAACTTACTACATGATAGCTATTCTTATGTTAACAACAAAAGTTCCTGTTGTTATTGAGTGGGTAGAGGATTGGGAACCAAGATGCCAGCTAGGAGACTTGGATTGTAAAATCTAAAGGTGCTGCCCTATAATTCTAAAGAAGGACCAAGTGGGGTAGTAGTTTACTTTTGTCCCTCTGGGTCATTTTGCATTTGACATAGCCTAGGGACCCACCATGTAGGAACATGGGAAAAAAGGGAAAAAACTATTGTGTCCAGGGTAGCCAAAGTATGTATGTATGGATAAGTAGGATTTCAATAAATGTGTAAGGAGGTGGGGTATGAAGGAGATGATGCAGGTGAAGGGAAAACTGTGAACAAAAAACTGTGGAGCATTTTCAGGGAACAAAATTAATCCACTATGATGGTGGCACAGAGTATATGTGGGAGCAGTGAAGGGAAGGCAAGTAGTGGAAAGTTGAGAGCAGTTTGTTGATGGCCTTAGATGCTAGGAAATTGTATTTTATTCTCTAGGCAATACTGAACCATCGAAGGTTTTTGGTTATGGGATAATATTAGGAGGTTTGGATTTCAGAAAAGTCAGTTTATACAAACTGGATTAGTGGGTATGGACAATAAAACATGGGTTACCAACTCCAATGCCTATAGTAACTGGACAAGATATGTAAGTAATTGAAACACTTAGTGTAAGACAATAGGATATAGAGGGTGAATGTCTAGTCTAAAGGAGACAACCTCAGCTCTAGGAAATTTCTCCAACTCAGAAAAAGGACTTAATGCTGCCAGTTAATTTCATTTTTTCAATAATCAGTAGAAATTCAGATTTCTATGTTTCAATTTTTAAATTTACAACTGATAAAAATTTTGAAAATACACTGTGGTAGGTCAAACAAAACATATCTGCTGGTTAGATTTTGCCTGTGGATTGCCAGTTTGTGACTCCTTGACAAAAATATTGAGATAAAATGTGAGACCATTAAAGTTGTCTAGATGAGAGTTAACTGGAGTAGTAGTTATGGGAATGGAAGGGAGGGGATGGATTGAAATAAGTTCAAAGGGAGTTAACAAATTTTAGGGACTGATTTAATATGGGGAAGAGAAAAGGAAAAGGGATTTGAGCCTCAATAATGAGGCAAAGATTAAGAGGAGAAAGTGTTTTCTGAGGAGATGAGAGCAGTTTTCGATAATTGTATGGCATATACTGGTGCAGTCACTACGTGGAGATGACCAAAGGTAGTTGGAAATGTAGATCTGGAGATCGGGAGAATTGCTGAACCTACGCCATGAAGTTTAGGAGTCATCTGCATACAGATGGCATTTGTAGTTATGGGATCTTGAAGGGAGAAAGTGTACAATATAAGGGGGGCCAAAAACACAGCCTTGCGGCGCTTAGGAGACTGGAAAGGCATTGGTGGTATAAGGAAGAGAAACCTATAAAATAAATATATGCTTAGAGAGGATATAGAAGGACCAGAGTTATACAGCATCATGGAGCCCTCAAGAGGAAAACATCTTGAAGTAGGAAGAGGTATTCAGCAATTTTAATAATGCAGAGAACACAAGATGGTTAAGGCCTGGAAATAGGCCAAGAGATTTGATAATTAGAAGTTATTGATGCCCTACAGGAAAATAGTGAGGGATAGAATAAATTACAATGATGTAAAGAATCTCTCTCTTGAGAAATTTGAGAATTAAAGGAAGGAGTGAGATGGAATCATTACTTGAAGAGAAATCAGAGTCAAACTTTTTTTTTAAACTGAATAGGGCAGTTGTTTTTGTTTTTGTTTCTGTTTTTTGCTGCGCCATGTGGCTTGTAGGATCTCAATTCTCTGACCAGGGATTGAACACAGGCCACAGCAGTGAAAGCCTGGAATGCTAACCAACTGAATAGGGAACTGAGTATGTTCGTAGTTAAAGGAGAAGGAAAAATGAGGAGGGAGTGATGGAGGATGCAAGATGTATTAGTCAGCTTGGGCTGCCATAACAAAATACCATAGACTGGGGGCTTGGACAGCAGAAGTTTTATTTTCTTACAGCTCTGGAGTCTGGGAAATATAAGATCAAAGTACCAGCCCATTCAGTTTTTTGTGAGGGCTCTCTTCCTGATTTGCAGGCAGTCACCTTCTTGCTGCATCCTCACAAGGTGGAGAGAGTGAGGGAGGGAGCTCTCTGGTGTCTCCTCTTACAAGGACACTAATCCTATGGTACAAGAGCCCTGCCCTTATTACTTCATTAACCTTAATTACCTCCTAAAGGACCTATCTCCAATTACAGTCATACTGGAAATCAGGGTGTCAACACATGAATTTTGGGAGGACTTCAGTTCACAGCACAAGAGAAAAGGGGAGATGATTGATAGAGCAGAATTCTAGAAGAAATACCAAAAGAGGATTGTGAACATTGGTTAGAGACATTAACATTTTTCTCTATTGCAGAAGAAGACGAGTTGTAATGAAAGTACAGAAAGGACAGGACAGACATTGGGAGTTTGTATTAGATGGCCTTGATCTTCTTTGGAATATTGCATTCTCTACCTCCTCAGTCTGCTGTTATCCACCTTTCAGAGTTACTTGATAGTTTATATATTCTGTCCGTGATTTTTAGTTGTCATCAGTAGGAAAGATTGGATGGAGTGTGCTTGCTCTTTCTTAACTGAAACCAGAGCCCCTCTATGTAATTTTTAATGTTTTATCCAATCTTTTTCACTAGATTGGATGGGTATTGAGGGTAATACCTGCGAATACTGTCATTCCATATGTCAGCATATCCAATTCAGGATCTAGCATGCAATATTTGATATGTGGTTTAAATTCAATGAACTGCCCCGATTCTACTCTGTTTTAATTATTTTTTATTAAAGCACAAGATCATTTCTGTTTTGAAGCTTGTATAGCTTTCCAACCTTTGATAAGAGTTATTCTCATATTCAGATTATACTTTCAGTCTCTTTATGGTTGACAAATATACTTTTAGTTTTCATTTGGATTACTACTTGTTTTACAGTGCTGAAACATTTCTTCTGAAGAAATGTCTTCAGGGTCAGAAAAGGATAAAGAGAGGCTCATTCAAGCTGCCAAAACGTTCTTCTTTCACATGCACGATCTTGCTTCCTTCACAAATGCACTCACCGAATTGTTTAACAGCAGTATGAACACTCAGATCTTCTTGGTGGCTGTGAAAGAAGATGGTAATGTTAAGGATGTCTTTGAACAGATGCTCAAAACTTTTAAGGAGATGCAATCTGCAGTGGTGGCAAAGCAGGACAGAATGCAAAGTGAACCTTTATGTTCCAAGATTGCAACAGCTATGTGCTCTATGCTTGAGAAGAGTAGCAGTGTAAAGGAGTTGCAACAGTCAGCCAAAGAAATGTTCAAAAATGTCCATACACCAGTCATTGCTTCTGTGCTGAATAATGGTAACATCCTTGAGAGTCTGGAATCTTCTTTCACTCTTGATGAAATATCCCATCATGAATCTTCAGTTAAGTGACGTCTATATAAAAGACACCAAAGAGCAATCAGACGATACCACATCTGAGAAAAGCCCAAGTCCTGGTCCATCCAAAGCCACTACAATAGACACCTTGAAAAAGTTGCAGGATGCACTAAACACTGAGAATGCCAAGGATACCATCGAGTTAGCTGCAGATCAGATGGAGCAAATTGTCAGAACCATGGGACCAATCTTAGAGATCCTCCAAAAAGCCATAAAAACTATGGAAACCAAGTTTTCTGTGTTTAAGAAAACCAAGGACTAGTAGGAGTGCAACAGTAGTGCTCATTTCTGTCAGAAAACCAATTCAAATCCTGTGAGATTTTATAGTACTTTCTAAGACCTTGGATGCCAGACATGTGGTCTGTTGGGACATGAGTTTGAAGAATAGTCACCTGGCAGACCATTTTCCTCAAGTTTTGCTTTATTCAAATAAAAATAAATAGTCAAAGAAACCCTGCTTGAAATGGCAGTTACTGAAAAGAATATATTGTTCAAAAATATCAAGTATGGTATTATATTTGAGGATGTTTCTAAACATTGTATTTCATCTTAAAGCATAATTGAAATAACCCTCAACTAATTCCCACTCTTAGTAATTCTATTTCTAGTTCCTACAGTGTGAGTTCCAGGTAAATGTATACAGTATCACTAAATAATCTGGTTCAGGCCTGGGAAACAAAACTTCTGCATTTTTGTCACTCATGTACCAATTTCTGTACACTTCAGTGGCTTGCCTATCATAAGCCATCACTAAATACTTTTGATATGATTTATCCAGAAGTAAATAAGAATAATGATGAGGAGTAATAGCATTTTCTTGCCTATGTGAATAAGACCAGAGCAGATGAGTTATTCTTTGTCTCCTACTGAAGTCTCATGATTAGGAGATAACAGAGGTTGAAAAATGGAAAAGCTCTAACATTTTACACAAAAAAAGACCTAGTGCTTGTTACTTGACTGTAATAGAAGTAGGATTTCTGAGATGTGCTTGTATTGGGGAAAAATGTTAGACAAATCCATTTGCCTACCAAAAAAGTCTTGAGCTCTCATGAACTGCAAATGAGTATATGCTCTCAAGATTGCCGTATTTCAAAAACAACCCAATCAAAACATGGGTGGAAGACCTAAATAGACATTTCTCCAAAGAAGACATACAGATGGCCAAGAGGTACATGAAAAGTTGCTCAACATCACTAATTATTAGAGAAATGCAAATCAAAACTACAATGAGGTATCACCTCACACTGGTCAGAATGGCCATCATAAAAAACCTACAAACAATAAATGCTGGAGAGGGTGTGGAGAAAAGGGAACCCTCTTACACTGTTGATGGGAATGTAAATTGATACAGCCACTGGGCAGAACAGTATGGCGGTTCCTTAAAAAACTAAAAATAGAACTACCATCTGACCCAGCAATCCCACTACTGGACATATACCCTGAGAACACCATAATTTAAAAAGACACATGTACCCCAATGTTCACTGCAGCACTACTTACAATAGCCAGGATGTGGAAACAACCTAAGTGTCCATCAACAGATGAATGGATAAAGAAGATGTGGCACACATATACAATGGAATATTACTCAGCCATCAAAAGGAACGAAATTGGGTCATTCAAAGAGATGTGATGGACCTAGAATCTGTCATAGAGTGAAGTAAGTCAGAGAAAAACAAATATCGTATCATTAACACATATATGTGGAATCTAGAAAATGGTACAAATGAACCTATTTGCAGGGCAGGAATAGAGACACAGACATAGAGAACAGATGGGTGGACACAGGAGGGAAGGGAAGGGTGGGATGAATTGGGAGATTAGGATTGACATATATACACTACCATGTGTAAAATAGATAGCTAGTGGGAACCTGCTGTATAGCACAGGGACCTCAGCTCGGTGCTCTGTGATGATCTAGATGGGTGGGATGGGGTGGGGAGGGAGGTGCAAGAGGGAGGGGATATATGTATACATATAGCTGATTCATTTCATTGTACAGCAGAAACTAACACAACATTGTAAAGTGATTATACTCCAGTTAAAAAAAAGGATTGCGATATTTCACATGATACCTAATAGAAACTTTGTTAAGAACAAGAAAGACAATTAATAACTCTAGTTTTATTTTTTTCTCTTTAAGAAGTATGGAATTTACTACTTACTTTAAAACTAGTTAACTCTAGGGGGCTTCCTTGGGCTTCCCTGGTGGCGCAGTGGTTGAGAGTCCGCCTACCGATGCTAGCAGACGCGGGTTCGTGCCCCGGTCCGGAAAGATTCCACATGTCGCAATGTGTCTGGGCCCGTGAACCATGGCCGCTGAGGCTGTGCGTCTGAGAGCCTGTGCTCCCCAACGGAGGAGGCCATAACAGTGAGAGGCCCGCGTACCGCAAAAAAAAAACCTAGTTAACTGTAGTTTTCTATTGGAATTTTCCTTTCTGAGAATACCTAAGATTTTTTCCTCAATTAAACATTTCTTTTTTTGCGGTACGCGGGCCTCTCACTATTGTGACCTCTCCCGCTGCGCAGCACAGGCTCCGAACGCGCAGGCTCAGCGACCATGGCTCACAGGCCCAGCCGCTCCGCGGAATGTGGAATCTTCCCGAACCGGGGCACGAACCCGGGTCGCCTAGCATCGGCAGGCGGATTCTCCACCACTGCGCCACCAGAGAAACTCTAAACATTTTTTGTTAAAAAATTTAAATCCTATTTTCTCTTAAAAAAATGCTTGCTTCTTATCTAAATCTCAGAGGATCTAAGTAGCCTGGACTTTCAGAATTCAAAGGTATGGAACTAGCTCTCACCTTCACCCCATTTAGCCCAATTAGTAGGGTCTTTAGAGACCTAGCAATCCCCCATCACCCCACTTACCTTGTCTACTACCTGAAAGAAGAGTCGGAGAACATCCCCAGCTGTGAAGTTCGATGATTTATACTTCTTTTTAACTGTTTGCACATAATGGGAACTCAATATATCTTTGATATTTCCTTGATAATTAGATTTTTTTCTCCTTTATCTCCACATACATACACTTGTTTTCCTAACAAATGTGCTTAAATTTGTGATGAAGGCTTAAAATCTAATTTGCCATAAAGTCCTCTGTGAATTAACATATGAGTTTAAATTCTAACTTTTGTAATATTATAGAAGAAACCTGTGTGCAACACTGGCAGTGAATGAGATTCCACTAACATCTTTCATTAACTTTTCCTTTTGTTTCTTGGGTTTCTACATTGGTTTGGTCTTGAATGCTGATAAAAATCTCTAAAAAAAAATTTTAAAATAATAAAATTGCTTAACATCAGGGAAAAAAAATCCCTAAAGAAATTTCACACCTTTAGTATGCCTCTGGGGCTCAACACTTTCTCATTTGATGAATTTGTCCTTTGCTTTCTAACTCAAGAGTCTCTGATTTGTTCCTAATATTTAGGATCATTAAATAAAAAATAAGGGAAAATCATTGTATTCATCATAACACTCCTTCAATTGTTTGAGACAGAAAATTTAATTCAAATTATTGAAGCAAAAATATAATTTATTGATTTATGTAATGAAAAAGCCCATGGTATCCAGTTTCAGGCACAGCTGGATTTAGGGGCACATAGACTCTCACCAAGATTCACTTTCTTTTCATTTCTCAGCTCTTCTTTCATTGTGTTAGCTCCATTCTCAGGAAGATAGGGGCTCTCTTCTCAGTGGCAAGATAGCTGCTAGCGATTCGAGGCTCATATTCTGCTTTCACTATTCTCCACTCGAAATAAAAAATGGCCCCCACCCCACTCCCAGCCCCAATTCTAATAAAGTACCCTGATTATGTCTCATAGGCTCAGACTGAGTCATTTTCTATCCAACATGAATCTCTGTATCCATGGAGAAGAAATATACCTACAGGTCTACCCATAGGCAGTGGACAGAGCCAGCTCTGAATCAGTTGATAGCTGGGCGGAATGATTCTCTATGGGGATTCAGGGTGCCCTGACTGGAATAAAGCAAAAGGGTACAGGGAAGGCAAAAACCACAACGTTTTTTTATGCTCTATTTTTGGAAGAGATGATGACACAGGTCAAAAATGAGAGAGAAGCAATAACTATGGGAGTAGGGATGCACTTTTTGCTGGAAGCTGTGAAAACAAAAAAACATAAAAAGAGTTAGAGATGTTTTAGGTAGCAGAGATTTTTTTAAAAACCACCTCATTTCTCCTTTGGTTCACTTTTTAAACTTAGAAAATTCCTAACAAAAATAGTTGAAGCTAGCACTTTTAAAAAAATTAATTAATTAATTTTTTATACAGCAGGCTCTTATTAGTTATCTATTTTATACATATTAGTGTATACATGTCAGTCCCAGTCTCCCAGTTCATCCCACCCGCCCCGCCACTTTCCCCTCTTGGTGTCCATATGTTTGTTCTCTACATCTGTGTCTGTATTTCTGCCTTGCAAACCAGTTCATCTGTACCATTTTTCTAGATTCCACACACATGCTTTAATATACGATATTTGTTTTTCTCTTTCTGACTTACTTCACTCTGTGTGACAGTCTCTAGGTCCATCCACGTCTCTACAAATGACCCAATTTTGTTCCTTTTTATGGCTGAGTAACATTCCATTGTATATATGTGCCACATCTTCTTTATCCATTCCTCTATTGATGGGCATTTAGGTTGCTTCCATGTCCTGGCTATTGTAAATAGTGTGAAGCTAGCCACTTAAAAAAAAAAATTCTTTCTTAGAGTTCTCTAACTGACAGCTTGCTTATTTTGCAGATGGTAAAATAGGTACCAAGAGGTTAAGAGGTGTACCTCAGGGTACCCAGCAAGTTGGGGGTAGAGATCTCTGGATTTCCCATATTTCTCGTCATCAGCAGCAGAATTATTACCATTACCATCATCCCCATCTTAATTATCACCATCTTTATCACCATTATGAAAGTGAACATTGATTAAAGGCTTATTCTGTGCTGGGATCATTTTAAGCACTTGCTATAAATTAACTCATTTAATCCACACAAAAACTATGAGGTATTTATCCTCATTATCCTCATTTTTTAGTTGATAAAACTGTGACACAGAGATGTGAAGAAACTTGTCAAACATCACGCATCTAGTAAGTAGTGTAGGCAGCCATCAAACTTAGGCAGTCTGGCTCAGCTCTGTATTTTTAACCACTGTATTATCTCTCCATATATTGCATGTACATTCATCAAATTTTTTTTATTACAAGGTGAGCAAAAACAATTCACACCGTCCTGTTTGATGTGTGTGTGTGTGTGTGTGTGTATATACTGCCTACATGTACACACTCTTCATGGGAAAGGTTAGCAGTCACTAAGATGTGGCTGATGGAAGAAACACTGAAATATAAAAAATTATTGTCAGGTGTAACTACTAACTGGGAGTACAATGGGATACTGATATAGAATGAGATGGAAGATGTATAAACCTTTAAAACAATGGTCTAGGGCTTTCCTGGTGGTGCAGTGGTTAGGAGTCTACCTGCCAACGCAGGGGACATGGGTTCAAGCCCTGGTCCGGCAGGATCCCACGTGCTGCAGAGCACGTGCGCCACAGCTGCTGAGCCTGCGCTCTAGAGCCCGCGAGCCACAACTACTGAGCCCGCGTGCCTAGAGCCTGTGCTCCGCCACAAGAGAAGCCACTGCAATGAGAAGCCCGTGCACCGCGGTGAGGAATAGCCCCCACTCGCCACAACTAGAGAGGGCCCATGTGCAGCAACAAAGACCCAACGCAGCCAAAAATAAAATAAATAAAATAAATAAATAAAATTTTAAAAATGCTCTAAAGAGTGGAATCTCCTTTTCAACCAGCCTTTGCTGATTATTTAGCATAGAAAAGACATTTGAGGTAGAAAATCATTCAACTCTGTGATTGCCTCAATTGTTTGATGACCATATTGTTTGATAGGATGATCAGATGATGGGGAAATACTTTTCCATTACTTCCACATAATATATAAGAACCCTTGAGTTTCCTGGAATTTCTATTTGGAAAATTACCAACAGTAATTTTCAAAACCCCACTTTTCTTAGATAAGAAAAATTAATAATGCATACTTATTTCTAAGCTTTTGTCAAAGTTTGTGTTAAAATTGTATTATCTGAATTCTCACAGGGACCTAGGAACAATAAATACCACTTTAGCAGGTCACTCCTTAGAATGATTCTTAAGCATTTTCTGTTTTGTTTTCTCTTCGTTGAGGCTAGAGATCACAAGGACCTTTAACCCCACCCTTTCTCACTTTTTCGTGGGATAAGATTCTACTGAGGAGTTGTCAGCAACTGATTGGCAAGGAAACAATATAACAGGGAAAGATTATGATTTGAGGGTGTGATTGGCTTTGGTATTGAAGCTCTACCCCTAGATGCTTGACTGTGATCATTTTTGTTACTTTCACTGGGCCTCAGTTTTCTCATCTGTAAAATGAGAGCACCTCCAGGTTTTTGGAAATGCTATGATCACCACTACTACTCTTCACTTACTTCACTGTGATTATGCTAATGTTCAAGTAAGAGACAAACACAGAGACATTACTATGTGGTAATCATACTCATCCTTCAAAACCACCTCTTAAGCGCCCTTCATAATAACTAGGATATTAAAAATAGCTTATTTTAATTTTATTTTCTCAGGTTAAAGTAACTTTTCTTTCCTAACTCTCTTGATACGTTTTCTCTACCTCTCATATGGTCATTATCATTTCTACCTCACATTATTATCATTATTATTATTATTACTATTTTCACACAGGCAGACAATATATTTAGAAGAATAAGTGAAAAAAATCTGTGAATTAAATTAATTACAATCTACAAAATTTCTCATTTCAGAACAACTCACATTAACTTTACTTTTGTATTCGTCTTTACTTTTCTTCTAGACTATTCAATGCTTTTTATGCCCTCTGTCCCTAGGACAGTACTTTTCAAATTGGAGGTTGTGATTCCATTAATGGTTTGTGACATCAGTTCAGTAGGTCATGGCCATCAATCTTTAATAATGTAATAAAATAGGTTAAGATAAAAAACACTAGTTAAATGCATGTGAAAAGATCAACTATTATCTTGTTATATATACATTTGTGTGAACATATTTGTATATTTATATGAATGTGAAGTGTGTTTATAATGTCAATAGTCAGGGTCACAGAAGATTGAAGCCAATTGTAGGTTCTCAATAACATTTCTGAATGGCAAAATAAATCTCCTGAAAGTGACCTACAGAGAAAATTGTCCTGGACTTTTTGTCAGAAAAAATGGGAAACGGTCTCACTTTTGTTATTTATAACCTGCTTGAATAATCTTACAAAAACCATTTAACCTTTCTAATCCTCAGTGTTCACATCATTATAGGGGGGTCAATAGCCCAAAGTACAGGTGGTTGTAAGAATGAAACAGATAATGTGTGTGAAAGCCTTTTGTAAACTAAATTTCTATACAAATACCATTTTATTCGTGTATTATAACCTGGATTTGGTCACCTCTGCCTTAGGTATACAGTCTGGGGAGAAATGCATAATATTATGCCTTTTATCTCATGAAGTCTGAATCTGTGAGTTAGATTGTTCAGAAATACATATTCAATCTCTTGAAAAAAAGCAAAAAAAAAAAAAAGGTAAAAGTGACATGCAGTATATCTAGTTAATCTTATTTGGTGGTAAATGTTATCTATAACCTCTTTCTGTCAAAATTTAGAGTGATGAGTGTTATTCTTTTAGAATATTGTCTATGGGACTTCCCTGGCGGTCCAGTGGTTAAGACTCCGTGCTTCCACTGAAGGGGTCCCGGGTATGATTCCTAGTGGGGGAACTAAGATCCCGCAAGCCGCATGGCATGGCCAAAAAAAATGTATTTCTTCTGTCTCTTCCTTTCTTTCTATTCTAACTGTTAACATTACTGATGTCGACATTTGTGCCATTAAACTGTTATCCCAGCTCCATGTGCAAAGTACTTTCCCAGAATTTTTCAATTGTGTTTGAGAAGGTGGGTAACAAGTGCTATCACAACATTCCCTCCAGGCAAGTATTGCCCCCATATTATAAGTGAAGAAACAGGCTCAGAGTTGTCATTTGCACAAGGCCACAGAGCTACTAACATATGCCCAGCTCTCACTGGTTCCACCATCTCTGCTCTACCCATCATGCCCTGTGGTCTCCAGATTCATCCAATTACTCATTCTTTCATCCATTCGTCTGAGACAGACATGCTACCTCAAGGTAAGGAACGCACGCAAAAGCTCTTAGAACCGTATGTGGCACATGTAAGTAAGTAATCAAAACTCTTTAGCTACTATTACTTTACTCCCTCCCAGTGAAGGACTCTCAGATAAGAAAAACATGCCGGAATCTCCCATTGCTCTTCACCGGAATCTTACAAGGTAAGTTTTATTTTTAAAAATTATTCCCATTTTACATATAAAGAAACTGAGGCACAGAGAGACTAAGCCATTTGCCTGTATTCTCACTGCTAGTAACTGGCAAGATTAACATGTAAAACCACACTGACTACAAACAATTGACTACATTTTTTTCTAGAAGCATGCTTAAGAATTTTAATTATGTGAAACATTTTCACAAATAAACCCCTCTTCTTTGTGAATCCAATGATACAGAACAGAGCATGTATTTGTGTGTTTACAGATTTTTGGCACAGATTATTTTGCTGAAAGAAGCAACATTTAAGGACAAATAACTAACATAACATATTTTGAGTCTTCCACTGGGCCTGAAAACATGTTTCTATGGTAACAAGTATAGGTCATGTGAGGGGTGAGAGAAGAATTAGAAGAAAAAGCTATTCGTTTAGAATGTCTTAAACAATTTTTCTTTTGCCACCTCACTCCCATCAATGAGTTATGCTACCGATTTGACCTTTTGATCTTTGAAGGCCACAGATTCCTAGGAACTCTTTGAACATGAGAACTTCAGTTACAACTTAATGGAAGCAATTTTGAAATACATTAAAGGACTGGGGAAGCTCTGCTCTTTAATCTACTGTCTCTTCATTGGGAGAACTGCAGTGTCCCTGGCTGACCCATTTTAAATGGCTCATGTTGTTTTTCACATATTGCGTCTGTCAGATTGAAAGGGAACCGGAGAGGAAACATAAGTCACTGGCTCATAGGGACTTTTGGGGACATAGAATAGTCTGTGGCTTCTGCTCGTGAAAAAATCGAAAGGAGAAACAGTTTCCTGAGAGGATTCCAGCTTCATGAGAAATTAGATTCTGTGAATTCCCCAGGCTGAGGTTAATCGTTAGTCCAGGTGATTGGTCGGAAGTCAAGTGTGCAACAGCAGCCATCTAGAAAAACAGGGCTGGGGAGACCACTGACTTTACTCCCTCCCAGTGAAGGACTCTCAGATAAGAAAAACATGCCACCTCCCTTCTCCCATTGCTCATGTTTGCATCAATCTAACACTGCTCCAGGATGTTGGAATAAGCAGAGTGTTACTTATCAGTTAATGGAAATGACTGTCTCTGGCCTTACAGATAGGCCAGAGTGAGCAGGACCTTGACCTCAGTGTGGATGCCAGTTTGAGGACGTTTGCAACACTGCAGCCCTGATGTGTTGAGAAACGCTGACAGGCTGAATTATTAACAGCAGCAGTGATGATGGAGTAGAGGAAGATTTGGGAATATTTCAAAGGTAGACCCTGTAGCTGGGTTGCAGTTGACTTTGAGTGTAAACGAATGCACATGTGGATAAGGACAGTCTTCCTCTTTCTGAATCAAACAGGGTACGGCATTTGCTACTGAATTTGCACAGCATTTGCTCCGTCAAACGACTGTGGCTGGCAACATACAAAGATAAAATGGAATCAGCCACATGTTTTTCTAAAAAGAGAGTAACACATATTTTTATTGTGATAACTCTAATTTCTCCTGCTTTGGTTCATTTTTCACAATATCATCAAGGCTCTTGCTACAATACTGATCTGACTGATACTCCATTCCTTACAGACTTCTAATGGTTTCTCACTACTTACAGCATGAAGTTTGAAAGTCCTTGGCATGGAATACAAGAGTTTTTTTTAAACAACCTGGCCCCATCAGAACTCTCCAGCCCCTATCAGTGTCCTACTTCCTTTCTACTCTTGGCCTCTTCCTCTGTCCTACACACCCTACATTCCAGCCATGCAGAATTTCAAAATTTCCCTGAAGATACCAGGCTGTTTGAAATCTCTGTGATTCAGTATATGCTTTTTCTGCTTGAAATGACTTTTTCTCTCTTTTTTCACTGAAAACCCCCATTCCTACTTCAAGTCCCAAGTGGTCTCCTATTGTGAAGCCTTCTCACTTTCCCCAGAGAGAACGAGCATCTTCCTTCACTGAGCAACCATAGCCATTGCTTAAACATCTGGTGTATACTTAGTGCTTTTGTGTGTAGACATTTGTTCATATTTCCACTCTCATTAGACTAAAAATCCTCCTAGGATAGTAATTTTGCTATATTCATTTTGTATCGCCTGGGTCCTCCTATCCCAGTTTCTGGAACAGAGAAGACGATTAAAAGATAGGAGTGGATGAATAAATCACACCTCCTGCTTTATTTTCAGCACTTCTTGTTCATGAAATGACCATGACAAAAAATGAGCTTGAGGGAGAAGGTAAAATGCTATGTTTTATGCACTACCTTTTCCAGTAGAGATATTTACTCTGTCTAGAATGCCCCGTATATCAGGGCCATTGCAAAGCACATTTTCCTACAGGTAGTTGAGGAGAAAGAAGAGAGGAGAAACCAAGAAACAAGGTGAGTTTTCTCTAATCTGCCAATTCCACCATTACTGAAGGCCAATATCCATGTTTTTGGCCTTTTTCCCCCAAGCTCACTCAGAAAAACAACTTTTATAAAAGAATAGTGTTGTAGAAAACAAATTTATGGTTACCAGGAGGGAAAATGGGGGAAGGGATAAATTGGGAGATTGGGATTGATGTATACACCCTACTATATATAAAATAGATAACTAATAAGGACCTACTGTATAGCACAGGGAACTCTACTCAATACTTTCTAGTGACCTATATAGGAAAAGAATCTAAACAAGAGTGGATATATGTATATGTATAACTGATTCACTTTGCTGTACACCTGAAACTAACACAACATTGTGAATCAACTATACTCCAATAAAAATTAAAAAAAGAAAAATAACTAAATAAATATTTCTTTGAAAAAATTAAAAAATAAATGGTGGCCTGCAATCCTGGTAAGAGTGGATTCAATTTGGATCAATAACAATACCTTTTAGCAGCTGACAGTTATATGCGCTCTGGGTCCCAGTTGACTGCAATTGCAACCAATTTCCTCTTGGGTGGTAGCTTGTATTTACAACTTCAAACAGCTCATACGGAGGGACCAGGACCTCCTTTTTGAGAGAGAAGTCTTGTACAGGTGCCCCCAGGCAGGTCAATATGGTAAATAAAGTTTGGTCCCCAAACTTCTGTGCCCCTTCTCTCAGGAAAGAGGTGGGGAGGAATTGGCCAAAGCGAATGGTAGCGCCCGTAGGGGCTTCCAAGTAAATGCCCTTCACCTCATGGTGCACCTCATAACACAGAGAGTCATTCCTTGTGACAATCTCTTTCCTCAGCAGCTGGATTGCCGTGGTCAGGTAGTAGTGTAGATATTTGAAATGGAATGAATGTTTATATTGCTGGGGAGACCCAGCAGCACTGGCCATGGCTCTGGAGAAGTCTGAACGAACACTGTCGTTCGATGAATAAACCAAGATGGCCACAGCATGTGTAATAGTCATGTTCTCAGGGAGAGCTTTTCCTTGTCTCAACCAGGTTAAGTGTGCATGTTGCCAGACCCTGTGGTAATTCCTACGAGATTGTAGTTCTTTCGTAAAATAATCCCCTTGAATCAGGTCCTCCATGACTTGTTGGCTGCAGCCTTGGTACTGATCATCAAAGGAACTTGGTGCCAAGTCAAAGTCAATTTTAACTGCGACCTATGAGGAAAGAAAAATCTTGATTTTAATTTTTCAAATTCGATGGTGAATCTTGTTGACCTGAAGTAAAGAGCGTGCCAGGTATTTCTCCAGCAAAGATAGGTCTATTCAGGATCAGCAGAGAGTTGCAATTCAGGTTCTGCGACTGAGGTGCGCCGTGTACAAGTCCCTACAGGGCAAGGGAAGAGGAATGTTTTCATAGAGAAGAAAAGGAAGATGGGAGGGTATAGTAAAACAGAGAGCTCATGGCTTTACATTCGCCCAGTCCTTGCCAGGAAAGAAGAGGTGTCTTTCTTCTTCCTGTTGTACTCTGCTATGCCGCAGGGCATGAGAGCTCCCCTTTCTGGTCTCCCGACTCTATTTAATTGAGGTTTCTGTTTTTTAAACTTTTACGGTGTGGTAGCAGATTTGCTACACTGTATAAGACCAAGTTGTCTGCTCAAAATCAGTATTTGCTGAAGTAAGTTTCACTCATAACCATTACACTGATCCAGTCCTTCCTGTATCTGTGACTCATGCTAGATGTTGAATTGGGTTTGACAAATATTACTGAAAGCACAAAAAAACCTCATCTCCCCACGGAGGAAGTGACCCTTTTTGTATCAGTGAAAAGTCTTTTTGCATATTGAGTATTTTGAAGAAAAAAATTAATAATCAAAGTTTAATTATACTATCTGTTTCCTCTCCTAACCCCTTCACATTCTCACACAGGTGTTATAAGTAATACCTCTTTTATGAATACCTAAAACCTATATTAAGCCTTTGGCTTTGATTTAAGAAAAGACTTAAGTGATGAGTAATGTCGGGTTCTCCAAGGGGGCCCCCAGTAAATGACAACCCTCTCCTCTGCTCAGGACTTGAAATATGAAGGCTAAAATATAATTTTTACTACTGAATGAGAACATGTTGGAGCACCCATCTTTTAGGTCTGATGGCTGGTGGGCTTGTTAAGGGTAAACCCCAGAATGAGCTGACTTGCCCACTTAGCTTGGATTGCAACCTGTCCAGGTGAGATTCTTGCCATGGGAGGAACACAGAACTCATGCCTTTTGCCATTGGGTTAATTCCCAGGAGGAGGAAGAGCAAACATAGCGTATCCAGTTATTCTTCCTGACGTTACCAGTCAAGTAACGTCTGTCCACCTCTGGGGGAGCGATGTGAGGAGGGGGTTGGACAGAGGTCAGTGGGGTTCCTGGTAAAGTCCTTCTTAGAAATCAGGAGTGGGAAAAAGACATTTTCTCATGGGTAGCCAATGGAATATTACTTATTGATACCCAGTGCAGATTAAATTAAAGTTAGAGATTTGAAGACAAGTTCATTAAGTATCATCCGTCCATAATTGAGAGCCATATTGTTCAGTTATCTAAATTTCAACGTGTTTCCTTCTGGGCAAAGAAATGATACTTTCCTAATAAACAGTACTTACTAAGGAACATATTAAGAGATAAAATTTCATCCAGTGAATGTCAACAGTGTTGTAGCTGGAACTCAAAAGCATACCATTTGGTATTTTTACTATGTTATTTATGGTGAGAAGTCATTTAGTTGTGTGTAAACTGGAACAAAATTTTAAGACGGCTTAAATGATTTTAACCGATAATTCTTTATAGCAGATTTGCAAATAGTTCTACAGAATCTATTTAAGCCAAAACAAAATAAAAAATATCTTCTATCAAACTTTGTAAACTCCAAAACTTTAATCTATTACTAGATATCAAATGGGTATTCTGTCTTCTTTCTTTCTTTCTTTCTTTTTTAAGTTGAGAGTTATGTTTTATTCAGTGGGAAGTTTTAGGACTTCAAGCCCGGGAGATGGCATCTCAAGTAGCCCTGAGAGAGCTGCTCTGAGGAGGTGAGGGGGGAGCTAGGATATATAGGAGTTTTGTAACAAAGGGCAGGTACTCAGAACATCAAAAATTACTGTTAATTAAAGAAAACCAGACATTAAAATTAAGGAATTTAGTGCTTTTCTATGTATGGGAAGATGCAAGAGTCTGGGCTCACTGAAACTGTTTTCTCTTAACATTAGGTTATTTTTCATGATATAGAACTTTATAATACCTCTTTTGAGTTGATCCATATGATACAGGATAAAGCCAAATAGACTTGGTTGATTTTGCCTTATTTGTCCTACAGAAGCAATGTTTTACTTAAATTTTATGGAGAATCAAGAAAAAAATGCTATGCCTCTAGCTTCTGTGATGCCAAATCTGTAAACTGTAAAGAACTCCACAATTTTACATAATCGTTTTCAACCCTCTTTGCCAGAATTACTTGTTAGTTAAAATGTCTAAGTGAAATTACATCCCAAGGGACTAAAGGTCATCTAAAGGTTGCACCAGGAGAATGCTCCATTGGAGCCCTGATCATAAAGAGATCACCTCCTCCGTGGTAACTCACCGTGGGTCTCTGCAGACTTGAGCACAGCAGCAGGAGAGGAAGTTGCCCTCTTAGGAGCCAGATTCTCACCTCAGGGGCTGCAGTATTTGGAAGAAGACTCCTGCATCTGTTGGTCAAAGGGCAGCATTTGTTGGTGTTGAAAGCACTTATTTGCCCTTGCAGCTTCATCCTGAAATCAGTTCTCAGGGTGCTCCTTTGGGGTTTTCTTGGGGTGAGTCTCAGCAAGAGCCTTCCTCACCTATGTCTATGTTGAGACTTCTGTTGACCACCACCAACTAGCGGTTTCCAAGGGAAGAAATCAACTCCAACTCACTTGCAAAGCTGAAATCTCTGTTGAATAGCCAGACTTGTGCACCAAATAAGGAATTCTGAAGTGAACTCAAATTAGTTTCCAACTTTAAAAAAAATCCTGATCTAGTCTCTATGCAGGGAAATTCCAAAGTCTTGTTACGGGTCTGGCTCACCAGCTTAGCCTTAACTTTCTTAAGAAGGCAGGAAGGGGCTTCCTTGGTGCCACAGTGGTTAAGAATCCGCCTGCCAATGCAGGGGACACGGGTTCGAGACCTGGTCAGGGAAGATCCCACATGCCGCGGAGCAACAAAGCTCCTGCACCACTACTGAAGCCCCACGCCTAGAGCCCGTGCGCACCGCAACAACGAGTAGCCCCCGCTCTCCGCAACTGGAGAAAACCCACATGCAGCAACGAAGACCCCAGGCAGCCAAAAATGAATAAATAAATAAATAAAAGAAAAAAAAGGCAGCAGGAAAAGGCATGCACTGTATGGTGTTTGGGTCCAAATGGTTTTATCTTGAGCTGCAGCCTTTGAGTGATATGATTGGCTCATGCAGGTCCCTGGGAAGATGCCACCTCAAGGTGGGCCTATGTTGGGCTCATCTGGTACTGCTGATAGGCCCTGCCCAGAAGGGACTTGCCATGAAGCAAAACAGTAGGGTTACTGCCCAAAAGGAAGCTCTCTTTGCTGCTTTTCCACTGCACGTTTGAAATCGTCCATTCTAGAAATTATACCTGTTCAGATCACAGATCTTCTAAGTTTTCTCTTCTAAAGGCATCAGATTCTCAATCCACACTATTTCAGTCTGTAGCGAATCCAAATGACTACTGTCAGAAGACAGCCTCTGAGCAGCTGACAGCACTCAAAAGTAGGTGACATCGATCAAGAACAGGTTCCAGGGTGCTGAGTTCATTCAACATAAAAGTCCTATGAAACACTCTCTCTTAGACACTTCCCTTTCTAGTCTGAACATACTTCCTCTGTTCCCAGTCCTTGGGGTAATTGTTTTTCTTGCAACACTTTCATTATTTAACTGTGAAGGGAAATGAAATCTTGTTCTCGGAAATTCTGGTATTTTTTTCAGCAGCAGTAAATATTTTTAAACTAAATTTTCTGATAATCACAGCAGTTATGTCTCATAACAAAAGTTCAGAATATCTAGAAAAGTATAAAGGAGGAAACAAAATTACCCATAACCCATCATCTGGAGAAAGATACTATTTAGATTTAGGTTTTAAACACACACACACACACACACACACACACACATTCTAGGACTGAAATAATGGGTGCAATTTTGCATGCTGTTTTTCTCCCTTATTTTTTTTCTTCTACATTTTATGTTTCCTTTTTTAAAAAATTGAGGTATAGTTGATTTCTCTTAATGTTTTAATGTAAGTATGTCAGCATGTAACTTAATACTTACTGAAAACATGTTTTTTTATGGCTGTACAATATTCTACCATCAGTGAAATATGGGGTGGATCCATGGACTATACTGTCACAAAAACAGATTGGTGAATAGGACACGGACTCTTGAGAAAGACACGTCAGTTCAATTCCTGGCTCTCCTACTTGATGTTTGACCTCATGCAAGGTACTTAGCTTCTCTGTTCCTCAGTTTCCTCATTTGGTTTTTTGTTTTGTTTTGTTTTTTCGGTCTCACCGTGCAGCATGCAGGATCTTAGTTCCCCGACCAGGGATTGAACCCGGGCCCCCTGCAGTGGAAGCCCGGAGTCTTAACCACTGAACCACCAGGGAAGTCCCTCCTCATTTGTTAAGGGGAGATAATAATAGTACTTACCTCTCTGAATGCTTTGATACATTTATAACCCTTTAACAGCACCTGGCACTGAGAAATTTTTTAATAAATAAAACATTATTATTTGTACCAAAACATTGTTATTTGTACCAAAGTTTATTGAATAAATGTATTACATTTAGACTGTTTTCAACTTTGTACTATTATAAACAATGACCTATGAACATGTTTTGGACACAAATCTTTGTGTGCTTTTCTTCTTGCAATTTTAAGACACAATTTAGAGATGTGATCACTTACCAATGAAATGTATATAGTTTTGGACGTCATTGAAAACATGAGTAGTGTATGAAAATATCCCTTTAAGATTTTAATAATTCTTAAGATTCCTTGTATCAACTGTTAATTTGGGATACTGAGGTTTCATGAAGAGAACTAAAATTAGAGTCCAAAAACTTGGATTATGGGTCTCATTCTACAGGTTGGTAGCTGAGTTTACTTAAAAAAAAAACCCTGCAAGCTGTGCTGAGCTTCAGTTTCCTTAACCTTGTAGAGTTGTCAAAAATAAATAATGTGATAATAATTACATTTTCTGGAGAGGGTACTGTGCTTCAAGACCTTTTGGTATGTTATCTTAACCCACAATACAACTATAAGGAAGAGATATTTTAACCTCCACTTTATGGGTGTATTTGCTGAAACTCTGTGAGGGCAAATAACTTGTCAGTGGTCTCAGGCGGTTTCCTCTTACCTCCATGGCCCACTGTCTCCAAAAATTGTAAAGGACTGTAAGTGTCATTATTATTATTATTTTTTTTGGCCGTTCCGCGTGTCTTGCCGGATCTTAGTTTCCCAACCAGGGATTGAACGCGGGCCCTCGGCAGTTAAAGTGCCCAATCCTAACCACTGGACGGCCAGGGAACTTCCCTGTTAACTGTCATTTTATTATTATTGTCTGTAAGGGTTTTGCTGATTTTCCTAATGTGACTGTCGCTTCCAAAATAAGACCACTAGGGGGCAGCAGGAACCTTTGTAACCTTTTTGTACAGCTGAATTTAAAGATTG